CAGCTTTTAAAAAGCAAACAAATGAAATAAAACAAATCTATTTAGATGGGAGTGGCTACTGAAGATTAAAGTTCCCAAGGGCTTTTATATCTTAAAGGAAGTGATTGCTAACTCCAAATTAAAACTAATACATAAGATAAATAGAGAAGACTTTTTAAGCCAGGAGGCAGTACATTCCTGGTGCCCTTTGTCCTCTCTGGGCTGACAGCACCCCAGTTGGTGGCCGCACGCAAGAAGAAACTGAAGCCATTGCTGGGCCCCCTTCTCTTAAAAGCCTGCCAGGCTCTGGCCTCGGTACCGTTCTGAGCTCATCCAGCTGGGTTTGTGTCTGTAACCTATTGAAAAAGTGACTTCAGTGGAGGTGGTAGGAGGCAGGGACCAGGATTTCCAGAGCAACTATTCTTATTTCATCATAAGACTTGCATGTACTCTACCTCATACTCTGGTAAATTACACAACACTCTTATTCTAATTATGCGATTGTAATCTCCATGGAAGCAAAGTGTCTGACTTATACCCTCTCCAAGGAGTGCTGAATTTAAGCCCGGATTGGGCGAGGATTACTTAGGGTTACACAACTAGTTAATGGCAGGACCAGAAATAGAACTCAGATTTCCTCATGCCGTAATAGCAGCCTGGTGTTCTGCCCCTTCTACCTCTGTTCCAGTTATCTGTTGCTGTGTAGCACCCCATCCAAAATTCCACTCCTTTAAACAGCAACGCTGCTATTTCTCGTAGGTTTCTGGGTCAGGCATTTAGTTGGGCTGTTCTTCTCCATGTGATGTTGATTGAGTCACTCACTTAGCTGGTGTCAGATGGATTGGGCTGAAAGGTCCCGGAAGATGTCATGTACATGTCTAGAACCTCAGTACTTCTCCCCTGGCCTCTTTCTCTCCATATTTTCTCTCCTCTCTTTCAGGATTCTAGCCTGAACTTCTTGACATCTTGGTAGCTGTCTTCCTCTAGTGAAAGCAGAAGTCAGCAGAAGCTGACAGGCCTCTTACACTAGCCCGAACCTGGCACAGTGTGACTTTTACTGCATTCTCTGGGTCAAGGCAGGTCACAAGTTTCTATCTGGGAAATAAATACTACCACTTGCTGAGTGGCACAGCACGTACACCGAGGGAGGGAAGGAATTGATGGTGGCCATCTTGGAGACTAACCATAACCGTAGTTAACCAGCAGACATAGCCTTCTCTCCCTAATTCCTAGTGCCGGACAGAATGGAGAAACTCAAGCCTGGGCAGAAACAAAAGAGAAAAGGGAGAAGAGAAATGTCCTGAAACACGGCATCCTTTTCCATCTTCAAGCCTAGCATAGAGTTAAGAAGGTGGCACCCACCTACCCACATGGCCCTCCAATCATTCCTTGACTGAGTTTCTTCTGGTCATCTTTTGCGCATCAGAGGAGATGGTGCTGCACTTTGTGCCATGTGTGTAAAGAGCACGATTAGTGCCTGCAGATCCTACGGTGGGCATTTTACAGTAATTTGGTTTTACAGCTACTGCTATGTCTGTTTTCTGTGTCAGGCTTTTAAGTGCCTGTTTCTAAGGCCCATTCTCTATGCAGCAGTTAAAAACAGTACTTTTCAGTGCTGCATTGTGTATTGCTAAAATGCAATACACCTACAAGTAACCTTTTCAACCGTTAATTTCCATCTATAAGTCAAATTATACTCAGTTGCTAAGAAAAAACGTGTCTCATTAAGTTTCTCCTGCTTTCTTTTTAACAGTACAGAAGATTCGTATATGAAAGAACAAGCATCTAAGACTGGAAAATCAATTTTCTAGCCTATTCTACCTCTGGCAACATCCCTTGCATGCTAACTAACTTGGTTAGGAATATCCTACATAATGAGGATTACGGGCATACTTCGTTTTATTGCACTTTGCAGATATTACATTGTTTTACAAATTGAAGGTTTGGGGCAACCCTGCGTCAAGCAAATCAGATGGCACCATTTTTCCAACAGCTTTTGTTCACTTCATGTCTCTGTGTCACATATTGGTAATACTTGCAGTATTTCATTCAAACTCATTCATTTTTAATGTGTTTGTTTGGTGATCTGTGACCTTTGGTGTTACTGTTGTAAATATTTTGGGGTGCCACAACCCACACCCACATACGACAGTGAACTTAATAAATGTTGTATGTGTTCTGTCTGCTCCACTGACTGACCATTCCCCCATCCCTCTCCCCTTCCTTGGGCCCCTCTATTCCCTGAGACACAACAGTGTTGAAATTAGGCTTAGTGAGGGAGGAATGTTGAAAGCTAAGATAGGCTGAAAGACCTCCGGTAGCCAAGCTGTGACTGTGAATGCGAAGGAAAAGCTCTTGAAGGAAATTAGAAGTTCTGCTCCAGTGAGCGCATGGATGATAAGAAAGAGAAACAGCCTACTGCCGATATGGAAAAAGTTTGAGTAGTCTGGATAGAAGCTCAACCAGCCACAACATCCCCATAAGCCAAAGTCAAATTCAGAGCAAGGCCCAGACTCTCTTCAATTCTACGAGGGCTGAGAGAGGGAGGAAGCTGCAGAGGAAAAGCTGGAAGCCAGCAGAGATTGGTTCATGAGGTCTAGGAAAAGAAGCCGTCTCCATAACATAAAAGTATGAGGTAAACCAACCTTCTATTGGAAGAAGAGGCCAACTAGGACTTTCATAACTAGAGAGAAGAAATCAGTACCTGGTTCCAGAGCTTCAAAGAACAGGCTGACTCTCTCATTAGGGGCTAACACAGCTGGTGACTTTAAGTTGAAACCAGTGCTCACTGACCATTCTAAAAATCCTAGGGCCCCTAAGTTATATGCTAGTTCTACTCTGCCTGTGGTCAATAAATGGAGCAACAAAGCCTGAGTGACAGTGCGTCTATTTATAACATGGTTTACTGAATATTTTAAGCCCACTGCTGAGACCTCTTGCTCAGAAAAAAGATTCATTTCAAAATATTACTGCTCATTGACAATGCACCTGGTCACCCAAGAGCTCTGATGGGGGTATACAACAAGATTAATGTTTTCCTGCTTACTAACACAGCATTCATTCTCTAGTCCATGGATCAAGGAGCCATTTTGATTTTTAGTTCTTATTGTTTAAGAAATACATTTTCTAAAGCTCTAGCTGCCATAGATGGTGATTCTTCTGATGGATCTGGGCTAAATAAACTGAAAACCTTCTGGAAAGGATTCACCATTCTAGATGCCATTAAGAACATTAATGATGCCTAGGAAGAGGTCAAAAGATCAACAGTAACAGGAGTTTGGAAGAAGTAGATTCTAGCACTTATGGATGACTTTGGGAGATTGAAGACTTCAGTGGGCGAAGTCACTGCAGATGTGGTGAAGACAGCAAGAGAACTAGAGTGAGAAGTCAGCCTGAAGCTGCGACTGAATGGCTACAATCTCCTGATAAAACTAACGGATGAGGACCTGCTTCTTATGGATAAGCAAAGAAGGTGGTTTCTTGAGATGGAATCTTCTCCTGGTGCAGATGCTGTGAAGATTGTAGAAATGGCAACGAAGGATTTAGAATACCACATAAACTTAGTTGATAAAGCAGCAGCAGGGTTTGAGAGGATTGACTCCAATTTTGAAAGAAGTTCTGTGGGTAAAATGCTATCAAACAGTATCACATGCTGCAGGGAAATTGTTCATGAAAGGAAGAGTCAGTTGATAGGCTTCATTGGTATATTAAGAAATTGTCATAGTCACCTCAGCCTTCAGTAACCACCACCCTGCTCAGTTAGCAGTCATCAGCATGACAGCAAGGGTCTAGACCAGCAATGGCCAGCATTTTTAGCAACAGAGTATTTATTTTATTTTATTTTTAAGTAACCTCGACACCTGACATGGGGCTCGAGCTTACAACCCTGAGATCAAGAGTCGCATGCTCAACCAACTGAGCTAGCCAGGCTTTACATTAAGGTATATATGTTGCTTTTTTAGACATAATGCTGTTGCACACTTAATAGACTACAATATAGTGTAAACATAACTTTTTTTTACATTTATATAAACACAACTTTTATATGCAACTGGGAAACCAAAAAATTCATTTCACTTACTTTATTATGATATTCTCTTTATTGCAGTGCTCTGGAACCAACCCCACAATATCTCTAGGGTATGCCTGTATTCTCTTACTCTGAGAAAAATTCTCTTAATCTTCTAAATTTCCTTGGGAAATTTTTTTGCATGTATGTTTTTTTCCTTAACAAAAACAGAGGTTTTTTGTTTTTTTTTTTTTGTTACAGTTAGATTGTCTTTTACAGTTTAGATAATTATTCAACCTAGAGTATATTTTCCTAGAAACAATCAAATAAATAAAATTCTCTAGTGTCATATCAAAAGAGGAAATGTAAGAGCAGCTATTTATGGACTGTAGGGGCAAAACATTTCCAAGTGCTTTGGGAAATCTCACATTTAAAGAGATTATCATTGTCTCTGGTTCCCCAAATGTATGTGAGGAAATGTGATATTTTTGTACCTAGCTGCCTAGGGAGTAGGGTCCACTGAAACACATTTTTTTCTCCCCATTCGTGTGGCTCGGATATTGAAGATATTGTTTGTACTTTTTTTATACCAGGTTGTATGGGTAAACATTTACACATGGCACAAAGCTAGCATTCAGTTAGAAGAAGTCCAGTTTTGTTTTGTTTTTTATTTTTTTTAACGTTTATTTGTTATTGAGAGACAGAGAGAGACAGAACGTGAGCAGGGGAGGGGCAGAGAGAGGAGACACAGAATCTGAAGCAGAATCTGAGCTGTCAGCACAGAGCCCGACGCGGGGCTCAAACTCACAAACCGCCGAGATCACGACCGGAGCGGAAGTCGGTCACTTAACCGACTGAGCCACCCAGGCGCCCCGAAGTCCAGTTTTATTTTTTAACACTGTACCATTTCTCTTATTTTGTGCCTCGATAAAATCATCCAAATCACTTGGAAAACTGTGGGGATTTTACTAAATTTTAAAATTTTTCCATATCTTTACCCCTTTCATTTTAGGAAGAAGAATTAGAAGCCCAGATTTCCTTCCTTCAAGGACAATTAAATGACCTGGATGCCATGTGCAAATACTGTGCGAAGGTGATGGACACCCATCTTGGTGAGTGAGCTGCTTTGTCCCCGGGAGTGATGATGGTCATAACAACAGTATCCACTTGGCCCTGTGTTGAGCTTTTCATGTGAATTATCTCATTAATTCTCACAGCAGCACTGTGGGAGAGCTACTGTTAATATCAACATTGTACAAGTGAGGAGACTGAAGCCCAGAAAGATTAATAAAATTTCCCAGGATCATAGTACTAGTAAGTGGAGTACAAATTCAAAATCAAGCAGTTTGACTATAGATTTCAATTCTTAAGTGCTACACTGCCCTTTATAAATATTTGTCTACATCAAACCAAAAAGAAATGTTGACCTTTCAAGGTCAAGTGGTCAGCTCTACTGTTGTGCCAACCTATCTGTAATTACTATTGTGATTATTATTTTGACAGTGCTTTATTTTTTAAATACATAGGCTTTTTTTTTAATGTTTATTTATTTTTGAGAGAGAGAGAGACAGAGTGGGAGTGGGAGAGGAGCAGAGAGAGAGGGAGACAGAGTATTTGAAGTAAGCTCCAGGCTCCAAGCTGTCAGCACAGAGCCCGACGTGGGACTCGAACTCACGGATCACAAGATCATGACCTGAACCAAAGTCAGATGCTTAAGCGACTGAGCCACCCAGGCACCCCTTAAATACATGTTTTTAACCACCAGCCTGAAATGCACGTCAGGACCACATGACCTTTTCTTACTTCTGACTGTGCTTATATTCTAAGAAATGTCCTAGTTTGAAGTTCAGTTTATATGTGAGTCCTACATATGTCACATTAGAAAGTCTTCAGGCATTACTCTCTACATTTGTAAAAGTTCTGTATTTTGTAATAGAAATGGTCTCTGGTGGAATCACATATGTTTTGCTTCAGTAACTGTGCTGCTTGCGAAACTTCATAATGCATACTATTACTGGTTTTCAGTTCTCTTACAGACATCCTTTTTCTGTCCGTTATCTTCTTTCTCCAGTGTCTAGCATCTGTAGTTTGGGAACAAATTAGGAAAATAAGACTTATACTCTGATAGACGTAGCCAATATGCTGCTGTGTAAGTGTGGACAAATGACAATACCAATTACTATAAGGTATCAGGATGCATCCCAGTTGTGAGGGGAAATCGAAGAGAATCCACCAAGGCAGAGGTCCTAGGAGTGGGCCATCCCTGGAGCCTTCCCTGAAGGTGGACTTTACCTTGGGCTCCATTGACTCCTCAGCCTATTCATGAGTTCACTTGCATGTGGCCCAAACAGCTGTCATTTAGGTGTAGCCTAAACCGTACTGGCCTCTAGCAAGTAATGTTCCCTTACAGATTTGGAGAGGTGCTTGACCTCAGTGGCTGGTTGTCCGCCAGTGTCTTACAAGGCAGCTGGCTGGGCCCTGTTCCATCATCAGCCTTATTTCTCCTCTCTCGACCACTCTTCTCCTTTAGAGAAAGAGCTCAAGAGGGAGAAACAACAGGGGAAGCCCTGGCAGGTGATCAAAAGGGTAGTACCCCTGATCACAGTAAGAAATGTTACCCTTGTCACATCTGGTCCACCCCTGTCGAAACGATTTATTTATATGCTTCATGATGATCATCTTTAAAAATGCATATAGAACTAAGTTTATGTGAATCTCATAGCATCCCACTATAAATGCATCAAAAAGAAGTCATTAAGAGAGATACAGTTTATATATAAATAATATATATTATATAACTAATTGTAGTTTACTTAAATATAATTTTTAATTTTAAAGCAAGTGTGTGGGGAGTTGGGGGGAGGGGGGCATGTGTGTTTGTGTATGTTTGTTTCTCTGGCTGTGTGGGTGACCTTTGTAGTGCTTGATTTTGGTTTTGACCAAAGTAGGAGAACAAAGAAGTGACTGAGAGAAAGATGTACTGGAACTCTAGAAAATCCTGTTAGGAAATCTCTAGGTTGTTTGGTCCACATAGCAGCTTTTCAAGCAGCTTTACTTAAGCCTAAGAATTTTTAAAGAGCTTTCGCTCTGATTTTGGTCTTTCAGGCAGCTCTGTAAGAGTATTTTCTCACTGCATGGGAGGGGGGAGCACTTTAATTAAAGAAAAGCCCATACCAGATGTGAATTTTCAACTAACCACCAAACTAAATTCGTTTCTGTGTGTACGTTTCACTTTCAGCCAGAATCCCCTCATACAGTTGTCAGCTTCTTTTCTCCATATAAATAGCAGGACACTTCATAAAATGGGCTTGAAGGTGGGGGGGGGGGGCGGTGCCTGGGTGGCTCAGCCAGTTAAGCGTCTGACTTCAGCTCAGGTGATGATCTCACGGTTCATGAGTTTGAGCCCCGAGTCAGGCTCTGTGCCGACAGCTCAGAGCCTGGAGCCTGCTTCAGATTCTCTGTCTCCCTCTCTCTCTCTGCCCCTCCTCCCCACCTCAAAAATAAGTAAACATTTTAAAAAATGTTTTAAATAGGCTTGAAGGATGCTACAAAGAATTCCTGGCCCCAGGGCCCACAGATGCATTTCTATCCACCTGCCTATTATAACAGTGATTTATTTATTAAAGGGTATGCCTATGTTGTAGGCAATTTTGATTCTAAGCAAAAATTAGAGGAAAACACAAAGATTAATTAAGGGAAACTCTTGATTGGCTCTTTGACTTATTGGACTTCTTTTAAAAATTACTTCAGCACCCTAGTATTTTTTCCATATGATGTTTTCTGTTTTTCCCAATTATTAAAGTAGTACAAAATCGGAACCACTGAAAAACCCATTAGTAAGTGACTGATTATAACTTAGTATAATGCCATCTTATCGAATATTAAAGTACTTTCTTATTAACAAGGAGATGTTCATGCTGTATTATTAAAGGAAAAGATAGGTAGCACAACAGTATATATTTGATGCAAAAATAACCATTAACAGTCATGGCCTGGCTGAAAGGATGATTGTAGGATGACTTTCTGGGAGACCTAGTTTTTATGCTTGGAAGATGCAAGGTGGTCACTGAAAATCTGTAGGTGGCTGAAGTGCAGCTAGCACCTGGGACTTCGTCTTCACGCTCCAGGCAAGAGCCTCGTTCTGAGAGTGGCTGGCGTGGTGTTTGAGAAGGAGAGAGCCCCGTGTGGCGGCAGACAGACACAGGGTTGAGGTCAGACTCGGTCCCTTCTTAGCGCAGCCTGCTTCTGATAGTGTCTTCATGTAGAAAATGGAGATGCAAATATCTACCTTGCCAGTTTGTTGCCAAGACTAATGTGCTTTTAACCCCAGCACAGGGCATGGCCCAAAGTCGGATCTTCAACACAAATTCTCTCCTCTGCCTCATTAACTCTTAACTGTCCCTTCTCAGGGAAGATCATCGAGTCTGTGACCAGAGTGCTGAGTACTGACATGTGCAGGCCCCTACAACTAGTTAGTGGCCGAACTAGGACCAATACCACATTTCCCAACCCCTAACTAAATATTCCCTTGTCAGTGATGCAGAAAGATGCTGGAATTGGGATACGCCAGTCCTTGGGTTAGGTGTGTGAGCTCTTTGGGCAAGAAGAACTTTAATGATGCAGAGTCCTTGACCTGAGCAGCTGGGCCTCCATTATGCACTGGGCCACAGGCTACCAAGGCAGCTCTGAGAACTGCATCAGAAACTATTCTAGGACGTATTTTCTGTATCCTTTCCTAACGTTAATTGTTTTCACCAAGTTCCTTTCATTTCAATAGAATTCCATATCACCCTGCGCTTTCATCATTTCAGTAATTTTAAAACGTCAAGTACAGTTCAAGGCTATTTTTATAACTGACAGAACAAATATAGAGAAAAACATCTCAGTTAAAAATTATATAAAGGCACTTGTTCAAATGGTCCTTTAATTAGAGAGGTAGTAACATTGACAGCTTAGCAGTTACTTCCTTATGGGCCTGGAACCCAAAACTAAAGAAATATTTGTTTTATCAAAACTCTACCAAAATTTTATTACTTCCACATAGTTGAAGCACGTGAATCCAAACACTGAGAGACAGGAATTGAAAATGCATGCATTTATTAAATCTAAACTTTCCTGTCAACTTCAGAAGGCTTGTTGTACGTGTTCATTTTTCTGTTGCTATAGTTACTCCCCTTCCCGTCACCCTGACAGTTGAGTCAAAGGCCATTGACAGTATTAACCTCAGGTGGTTGAGCTCAGGCTATTTTTAGGTTTGCCGTATTTTACTCATAATTGCACGTGGGTGAGCGGCCCACGCTTCTCTGTTCTGTGAGCAGCTGGGCTGAGCTGCTAGCTGTTTACAGGGAGTGTGAGCTGTTCACCCTGCTGGCCCTAAAGGCCCCACCTGCCCACTCCCGGGGGAGGTATTTCCAGTCTCTGTTCGGTATTTAGAAGTGGTTTCCAGCGGCTTGCCCTTTCATTGGTGGCTCATGTAAACAATGGCAGGGTTAAATGCAGTGAATTAAGGGAAGTTGGGTTTCCCAGAGTGCTGTAGCTCCTAGGAGCTTAGAATGTTGAACAGGTGGAAGCTTTAAAAGCCAACTCAGCAGTTCTTCATTGCGAAGATGAGGAAAGCAAGGTCCAGGAAGGATGAGAGGCACACAGCTGGCTTGTGGCACACACGCCATGAGTCTAGACCCAATTTCAGTCCCTGGCTTCTCTTTTACTGACGCTTTGACTAAAGCCAACACTTGAATGGGTAGTTGGATTTCAGATCTTCTGCTGTTTCATTGCACGCATCATTACCGATTTTGCACTTGTCATAATATTTATGTAAGAATTAGCTGTAAGAGGAGGCCAGTTTTGAAAATCAGTTTATTTGCTTCTGCAAGAACTTTATAAATCTCATTTTCTCATGTTTATAAAAACAACTTTCAATGGACGTCTGTGGAAATGTTCAATAAGGCAGTTAACTAATCACATTTGAAAAAAACAGGGAAGGAAAATGTGATCACCAGACAGCTTCCTCTCTGTCAATCACACTGTGATAAAAGTTTTCATTACTATTTTAAGAATTTTAAATGCTGCATTTAATTGTGGGCAGCATAGTCCTCTGTAGAAGGAGAAGATA